TTACCCGTTGTTATTGACTGTACTTATATTTATGGAGCTGATTTTACCGCTGCCAAGGTAATCTCTTCAATGATTGAAGACTTCAATAAACGTGATCAAAAAATAATTTTCTTTAACTTGAAACCAAGTGTGGTTCAGATTTTTGAAGGCCTCAATACGAAGTTGAAGCTATGTTATAATATACATGCACTATCGCAAGAACTTAAAGCAGGAACGGAACCTACTAACTTACCCGAAACAATTGTGATTGAAGGCGAAACAACAAGTCCGTGCAACGGTGGGATTGATTTAACCAAACTGTAATAATTTAGTAATTGCGTAAAAGAATAGATATTTATAATAATACAGTATATATGCATGTATTATAAATTATTTATTATTTCAAATTTCGAAGATATTGCGCATAATTGGTAAAATAACAAGCGTTAGTAAAATACAAAAATAACGACAACTATTGATAAATAGGAAAAAGAATGCAACTTTTGCTTTAATGATGTGAAGGACATATTACATTTAATTTCAGAATTATTGATTACAACGTTGTTAAATAAATAATACTGTAACACTGTAAATAAAGCGCACCTTAAAACTGACAATACATATTTTGTACAAATAATATTTTCTATTGTTGCCTCTAATAAACTATAATTATATATGTAGTATATCAAAAATAATAAATGTACTAAGATGTCGAAAGTCGAGATTAGCTTTTTAAAGCTTTTTCCGATAATGGACCATCAAGAGGTTCGCAAAAACAATTTACCTTAGCCAACGAACGCAATCCACACTTTCTGGATTATATAGGTCGTTTTAGTATAATATTAACAGAAATGTATTCATTTCTGTTAAAGCAAGAAAGAACAGAACTTGGATTTGATGGTCGTTGATTTATTAGATGTTTTACTAGGAAGAGAAAATGTTAATAAATTTTTTTGCTTTTAGCTGATGACTTTAGGTAAAACTTCATGAATGCAAAAAGATATTTATTTACTGTTTCATATAAATCAAGTAATGTCAAAACAAATAATATACCATTTGTTGCACCATCTTTAGACAGTAACATGATTGTAAACAGATTTTATTTTTTTGGTACTGACGCTACGTATAGCTATTCATTATATTTATCAATTGGTGGGTAATATATTTTAGGCATAAATATTTTTGTTAAACTAGTTTAGTCAAATTCTGAATTGATATTTTGGAACTTAAAGTACACTCATATTACATGTATAGTACCATGCTCGACTTATTATAAAGTTCGTTAGTTTTCATATTGGTGATATTCACAATAGCGAATATTCAGACTTTCTTATAATTTCTGTGATATGTACAACTAATATGTAGTTTAACATCTTAACAGTTCAAAGCAAAATAGCTTTAAAAAGGTTTCGAACTATCAATTCATGATTTTTTCTTTATTCAATCCAATCTATAAGCCCCAATTATATCAATTTATAATACGGACTAATTTTTTACACTTCGTTTATTTGGGAACCAACGTAAACACCAAAAACGATATAGGATTAGAAAAAATGATATGCAGGGAGAAATCACTCTTGCCAACAGATGTTAGTTCGGGCTAAGTAGGCAATTGATAAACAAATTTATTCTCTACAAATCTCTCCTCATGCCTGCCCTGCTGTATCGTGCAGAAGCTTGGATAATATCCAACAGTTATGAGAAGACGTTAAGCGCATTGGTGAGAAAATTTCTTTCGAATTTATGGTTGGATCTATTGATTTATGGTCCTTAGCATGTTGGCAACGAGTATCAAATTATATGGAACGATGAGCTGTATGAGCTATGCCGCGATATAGTTAAGCACAAAAAAATTAAGCGACTTTAGTAGTTTGGTCAACACGTGTGAATTGAACTAATTGCTGTGGCTAGAAAGTTATTTGATTCGGCAGTGCTTGGTATCGGGCGTAAGTATTTCTGGTGAAATCTCGAAATATCGAGCGATATGAAGGCGGCCGGTACTGCCAACTGATGTCTAAAAGCCACTGATCGGCGTGACTGGCGGAAGCTACTTGAGGCTCACGTCTGCAATTACCAACTATACAAGTAAGTTTAGTTTCTTTATTGGTGTCATCAATGTGTATTTAATTTCATTTCACTTGGCTGTTTAATTGTCATCAATGCTTTATATGATAAGACAATCTCCATCTGATCAAATGCAAATTTCAAACTTTCAATCCCATTATCTATATCTCTCAATTAATTAATGCATTTTCAGCAATTACTTGACGTTCTTAAAAAAACTGCTACAGTAATTACATTTATTTTATAATTTTTCAACCATTAACATTTACGGATTTAATTTTTAATAAATAGAGTGACATAAGGTGGAGAGAGATGTTATAAATAAAAAAATTTTATTATAAAATTTCGATTAATAATAATTAAAATTTTGAACTTATGTATGGGTCATTCTTTTACAAATCGGACTCCTGTTTGACCTCATGTACTCCGATTTAGCTGAGGTCAATTATCTTAAAAACACAGTAAATTTCAAGTTCTTATCATTTATAGAACTTGAGATATAGCACTTTGAAAATGTGTCTACAATGTCAATTCTCAAAACCGTATGGTTTATATCTCCTAGGAAAAAAATCACAAAATTTTTCCCGAGATACGGGTCTTCTTGTTTTATGAAAGGAGTTCATAATAAAAATTTCAGTCAAATCGGAGATCATGAGGTCAAAAATCCGTCTAGTTTGTAAAAGAATGACCGATATGCATGTTATTATTGAAATTATGTGCATCAGGTGAATTCGCTCTTATAATGTAGGGTACACAGCAAAAAGTAAGCATTAGCCCAGCGGGACTTTCAGCTCTGAGGTATTCGATTGTTTCAGCGCTGAATGGTAATGTCTTGCGCTGATTAAGGGAAACTCCTAATTACTTTAACACGTGCATGTCATTGCGGGCAAGCGCTGAATCGTTCGATTACCTTTTCGAATTTGTAACGCAACATATCAGCGCTGACATGTTCGCTTACCTTTTCGAATTTGTAATGCAACATATCAGCGCTGACATGTTAGCTTATTTTTTCAATTTTACCTATGCTATTGATTTTTAAATAAAATACTAAAAATTTTTTTGAATGAATTATATTTTATATTTATGTTTTATAAAATTAAAATATTAATATTTACATAAAACAATATAACATATTTACAGAGAACAGAGAACATAGACATATTTTTTTTTTTTGTAAAGCACTTCTGTCCGAAGAAGTTAAAGTCTTGTTAAACGGTAGCAATATTTATAACCTGTACAAATTTCTAACAGAAGATTAATTATTGATGAATTTATATGAACTATAATGAAACACCACTTTTTGTATGCTAATATGACACACAACAAATATGCTATTGTCAAATAAGATTTTAAGTAAAATTCTAAAATTTTTGTAAGTGCTGTATGAATTTTTTTTGAATCAATAAATAATAATAATAATAACAATAATAATACTTACAGTTAGTTTATGTTAAATTCACAAATTATATTTTATTTATATTTTTAGATTCACAAATTATATTTTTGATTTTATTTTGATTTTAAAAATTAAAAATTGGTCACTGCACTAATATGACGCACTTCATTAAAATCAAAAGCAGACTAAATGTATACAATGCAGGCAAAACAAGGAATTTTTCGTATTTATATTCTCTTCTTCTTCATTCTTTTATAATTTCAACCCCGAAATTAACTATGTCGAACACAAAACAAAGAAAAATAAAAACGAAGAGCTATTACCTCCTCGCTTACTATTTCAGCGCTGGCATAATGGTGCCACTGGGTAGTTACAGACAAAATAGAGTTATTTGGAACTGATGGTACGGACACGGTTGCCACTTATGGTACTTTAGTACCAAAATTGGTACTTTTTTTCCGTTTGGTACTCTGGTACTCATGTTCAAAAAATGGTACATTTTCGGCGACCCGTGGATATTGTATTGTTTTATACTTTTTGTACATTTTATATAAATTGTATTTTCTTATAAAAAGACAATAGAAAAATTTTGGACCTTTTTTTACAGAAATGGTACTTTTTTAAACCAATTTTGGTACAGAAAAAAATTTTCAAGTGGCAACCGTGGGTACGGATAAACAGCAACACTTTTTCTACTCTTCTTTGTTATGGAACACTTAATAAATGTCTTTATATGCATGGGTAGGCGAGACAATAGTGTTTTGAAGGTGATGTATAGACCTTTTTTTTGTGCTTTTTATTTTTTCAAATATACGATTGGCTTTGTGTGCTTTTGATGCACAAGTTTTTCAAAATTATTTTAAATTTGTTTTTTGATGAAATTTAATATTGGCCTCAAAGAAATATTATATAGGGTTTGAATATTATGAGGCAACTAAGCACTTACAGTAGCGCAACCATGGCTGTTGTTAGTATAAATGCTATTAATATACTTGGCAGTGAAGACATTGTTGTGCCTTATAGTAGCAATAGTATATCTAATACTATTGATGTTAAACTTGTCCTGCTACTTTATGTTAAAGTAAAAGATGCGTCTTTCTTGTTTGATAATCATTTTTATTCTGAATCATTTTTATACGGAACAGCACTGACATATTAGACGAAACACACTAAAACATTCTTACATTAATAATTTTACAATAATATCTAACAATTGTAGTAGAAATGCATAATAACCATGAAGTATATTAATAATCATCATGTTGTTTAGTTATTAACTATGATTTATATTTTAACATATATAATTGTATGTTCAAGTTTTTTTATTATTATAAATAAAATAGAACTATTGACTTAATTTAATTTAATCGTATAAAATAGAATAATTAACTACATTTAATTTAATCATATAAAATATATTCATCATATAAAATTTATATCAATTCTATATATTTAATAACTAATAATTTAAAAGGATTTGTATTTTGAATAATGAATTAATTAGTATTTTTGTAGAATTAATTGTATTACATTATATTACCTCTGTATATACATATATTTGTGTTAAATACATTTTACTCCCAATAAAACCGATTATGCACTTTATAATTAAACATATATTAAGTACAGTGTACCAATGCTATTCATATAATGTGTCAATATACAATTAATCGTTGCTTCCAATTTACTGTGGCTATCAAAATTAACATAAGATATAATTTTAAACTGATAGCCCAAAATGCCACAACGAAATCATCTTCAATAAATGTCGATGTGATAATATATACAGACATAACACACACTATTTGGTTTTGTATTACTGCCTATCTTTGTAGCATGTTTTCTTCCATTCATGAACAACCTCTATAATCTAGAAAGTGTGGATTGCGATGGTTGGCTAAGGGAAATTGCTGTTGTAAACCTCTTGATGGTTCATTTTGGAAAAGGCTCTAAAAAGCTGAGAGCGCCTTGCGACGTCTTATTACATTTATTATTGTCAATAAATGTAGGTCTGTATTTGAAAAATTTAATAGGGCAGAAGTTTAACTTTTGGTGCATTTGATTTAAAAAATTATTAACTAATAATTTAATCGCAAAAATACTTTCAAAGATTGAAAGCTACTCGAAACAGGTATATGGTAGCCAAAAATTCAATTCATAGAGAAGGAATCTTTATTGTAGTTTTCATATTATTGTTTGAATCCCTATAATTAAAAATAATTTATTCGTTGTATTTGACTTTAAATAAAAATTAAGTAGAAAATTTTATCTGGATCTGATTATAAGTTCAAACTTAACCAATGACGAAGTGCTGGAAAAGATAATTCCTTTCATAATTCCTATTTGAAAATTTGTTATTAAAAAGTATTTCTTACACCTTTTGGCTGTTGTACATTTCTTCTAGAGTTGATTTAGAAAGTTCGTAATATTACAATAATAGAAAAAAATTGTCAGAAAAAAACTAATACAAATGTATTACTTTTTATTTTATTGTTAAAACTAATTAATCAAAAATTTAATCTATACTGTTATTAGTATGGAAAAGATTATTTTTGGTTTAAGCTTAATATTTACATTTACTCAGTACCTATGAAAACTATAATACTATTCGCATATTAACATTAATTAAAATATTCTAAGTTTGTTTTGCTAACGGGCAGCATTTATCTTCATTGAGAAAAAAAACTAGTTGAACTTAGATGATGCTCCCATTTAAATTAGCAATTATAATTCACCTATCTAATAAGTTAATTTATTCTTCAAACTAGTAAGTAATAGAAACGCCTTATTATGTTAGTTAATTGAAATGTTTTCCTACATTGGTTGATTTTAATCTCACTTATTGGATTGATTGATGAGCCTTTCCTGAAAGCTCCATTTCCAAAGAGTTCATATCATACAACACGACTAAATCCTTATTGAGTCCAACAAATACTTGGGCAACACGCGGTTGTAAGTTGTAGAAAAATATCTTCTGATTTCTTGCTTGAAACTCGCCGATCATTGTTGAAACGACTTTAGCGGCTGTAAAGTCTGCGCCATAAATGTGGGTGCAATCAATAATCACCGGTAACGTGGACTTTCGGCCTTGTTTGTTGATAACATTTCGGACAAACTCTACTGAGGGAAAGATTAGACAACGATCTGGAGTAAGCATCAAGTAATTTATGTCATTAGAGGTCTGTAAAATGAAAAGCAGTGCTTGTCAATAAAATACTAATTACTTCCAATGAAAATCTTACTGTTAGCGTTTCTACACGCAACTTAGGACGAGCAGCATGATATAATATGAAGACTACATTAATTCCAATTCCAACGAGTATTCCGATTTGTAATGGTAGTACCAGACAGGCAATAAACGCCGCAATCCCAGGTATAAGATCAGTTTCTGCGGGATGAAAGATAAATGGATTTTTTTCATGGTGATTGTATAACACATATTTTGTACACAAAATTTAGACTATGTTATTCTTACTTTTAGTCCTCCACATTGGTTTAATTACTCGGTATTGTATCATAAAAATAACTGCGGCCACTATAATTGCCGCAAGCGTCGCCTTTGGTATATAATAAAATGCAGGAGTCAGGTAGAGCAGTGCGATGATAACAATCACGCCAGTATATAAATTAGATAATTGAGTACGACATCCACTGGCATTTAGTACAGCACCACGCGCTATACCACCATTGCCTCGAAAACCCTGTACAAAGGAATTCGCTACATTACAGACACCAATTGCAATTAATTCCTGAGTAGCGTCACAAGGCTTTCCATTTGCTGTTAAATATTTAAAATAGTACGTCAATTTTAAATTTAATATAAACCATTATATGATAATAGCTTACCAAAAGCTTGAACTACAGCCATGTTTTCTAAAAGTGATATCAAGGGTACAACAATCAGTCCTGATCCTAAATTGCTTACCATTTGCCCAAAATTTTCATATGTGGATACAGTCTCTCCAGTTGTTGTATTTGATATAGTAATCAAAGAAAAGGGCGGCAATTGAAAATTCGGAAGTCCTTTCGGTACATAGCCAACCATACGAAATAAATCATTTCCAGAATTCAACAAATAGTATCCAAAACCCGAAGCCGCACAAACTAAAACAGCATTGCGAGATGTGCCAATTAACCAAAACAGTCCGGTTAAAAACTTCTGCCATCCTTTTTTACCCTCCTTGGGTCCGAATGTCGTGCTGGCCATTACCCTCATAGTTAGTAATACAACTATACAACAAAGTCCTAGAGCCGCGTCATACCAACTTATATTATGAATATCATTCACAATGGAAATCCACATATCCAGAAAAGTGACGCCTTTAGTGTTAACACCAAGAATGTCTTTAAGCTGCGATGTAAATATAATCAAGGAAACTGCGCTTGTGAATCCAGCACTCACAGGTCCTGATACGAAGTCAATTAAAAATCCTAGTTGAAAAACTCCCATACATATTTCTATGAGGCCAGTTAAAAATGTTAACAATACTGCCCGCTCCCAACTACCTTGTGCAGTTTGAAATGTTAGCAGCGCTGATATGGCCGTTGGTCCCACTGGTACATCTTTACTAGATCCAATAAATATGTAAATGAAACAACCAAGAAAACATCCATATAGACCGTACTGTAAACAATTAGAATGGTAAAATTATAAAAAAAATTGATGTAAAAAGATTTTATAAATAATTTTGTGGTGAAAATGATTCTTATTTAATATTATTTTTAGTTATTTTTCAGTTCTGTGATTATTTTTCACCACATTCGACAGAAATTTATATTAGTTAGTATTACTTATGAATGAATGTTTCAGCAATATATAACTATATAAATTTCAATATTTAAATGCGTTGTATAATTTATATAATGTATTCAAAATAATTTTATACTATTTATATTCATAATCAGCAAAATGTTATGTAATTTTTATAAAAACTCTGTAATATTGCGACTAACCTGCAAATCTAGACCAGCGATGCCTGCATACGCCAATCCTTGTGGAATTACTGTAAGACCCACCGTTATACCAGCAACGAAGTCTCCAATAAAATCGTGTCGATTATATTTTGGAAGCCAGGTCAGGATGGGCATGCGTTTGTATAAAGTTTTTTTCCGAAAAACATTTGCTGATGTTTGCTTTATCCATTCACAAGAAACTTGCCAGCAACTTAACGAGTTCTTCGGATCATCCTCCTGTATTATACAATCACTGGAACCATTGTATAAGCCGCTTGGCGGTATATTTAGAGAAATTTCTGAACCGGTGCTCCCACTTTCTCTTGTAGATGACGCATCCACACGCATTTTATTTCTCTTTCTTTGCAGCTACT